CCCCAAAACCCCAAAACCCCAAAACCCCAAAACCCCAAAACCCCATGACTAATATGAATGATTATTATAGTAGGGTTAGAATTTAAATAGTAGTAATTATTAAGAAAACAATTAGAATTTGATTCAAAGTTCATCTGCCTTGTTCTTTCTTTGATTATTGTTTTTTCTTTATGTTTTCTGATGTGAGTGAGCATGTTCATGATGATGATCATTGTGGTCGTGATGATGGTCATGTGAGTGGTCACTATGATCATGATCTTGATGATTGTGATGTGCATGACTATGATCATGATGCTACTGCTCCTAAGATAATTCCTCAAGTTTTTACTCTGTGTCTTTTTTGAAATATAATTTTTGATGGGCTATTTGTTCAACTGCTGCTTTGCCATAGATACCCTTTAGAAGTTTACCAAAGGAGTGTCCACTTTAGAAGTCGTGATAATGCCCTGTAAACAAATTTCCACTTTGGCCTCCATCATGAGAGTATAGCATTATTTCATCGAAAGGATCCTCAGCATATTCCACAACTGTTTTATAGTTAGGGGTAGCAAATGACTTGAATGTTTTGAGCTAATCTACTTTCTTTATGCTGTATTTTGATACTCTGATTGTATTAGAATTTCCTCCAATTGGAGTTTCTCTATGGAAAAGGAACTTAAATGGTGTTAAACTCCAAGGCTAATTGGGATACTCATTTACATGAACATTCTTCCATTTCCAGTCTTTGGGGTTCTAAGATACTTCAACAGTCAAGAAATCAATAGCTTCAGCTAATGCCTTAGCAATGTTAAATGAGCAGGAGCTTTTACCTTTGTATGTTGAATCTCTCATTTCACAAATTTGATTGAGATCCTAGTTCTCTGGTTCCTGATCGATGATTCTAATCAATCTTTGAATGAAGTCGTTGAATGGATAATTCGATGTAATTTGCAGTCTCACCTCATTGTCGTCTGAAAACTTGTGGAATAAAGTCTTGTATAGCTTATATTACCAAACAGCATAAATAGTAGCTCCAACGCTTTCCTCATCCATCTCTCCGTGCCAGAACAATAGTTTGTCAATAGCTTATTAGGCCAAAGGTTGCTCAGTATCATTGAGATGACTCTTAAAGTTATTAGCAATTCTCAATACATAAGGCATGAGATCTCTTGCCATAAGATCAACTGTATCATTTTAAATTTGAATCATATCTTTGTGGTCAAACTTATGTCCCTTGTCAACGCCTGCTTGAATGAGCTCAGTAATTCTTTGAGCTCTGATTGTTGAAGTTGAGGTAGCACCAATGTCGAAAAGGGAGTGTTCTGGAGCTGGTCTATTGTTAGCTGTGACAATATAGCCCTTCTTAGGATTTATAACTCTGAGCAGGTCTTTGGAATCATGTAGACCATCCCAGTCATTATCTGAATTGCTACCATCATGGACTCTACATCCAGAGAATGGAGTTTGATTTCTTCTCTTTGGCATCATGGCTCCTAGATAATATCCGATATTTCCCTTGTTATCTGCCATTAGAATGTTTTAAGGTACAGAATAATAACCTTTATCGTCAATGTTTTTCAAGACATCATGTAGATTGTCTGAGTTCATTAGATTTCTAACATTGTCCATAGTGTTTTCTTTTGGAGTGTGGCCAGTCCAAGCAAAGGAATATAGCCCTTCAGTTTTAAGATGAGCAGCACCTTCGCCGAAGAATACTTCAGCTCCTTAGAACACTTAATCTGGTATAACTGGTCCTCTGTGAGTATGGCTTATTATAAGTTTAAGTGGGTCCTGTCCCTCAATCTTAATAATTTCTTCTCTTTAATCTAAATCTCTCCATTCACCATCTACTCTGTACTGCTTCTTGTTTGGAGAAATAGTTTCTTCATAAATATCTGCAAGATCAGTAAGTGCTGAGGTAGTAGTCCAAGCATTATTGTTAGTTTTACCCATCATTACTAATGGAATACCTGGGTAAGTAGCTCCAATGACGTATTTACTATCATAGTTGAGTTCCATTAAGTACCAATGAGAAGGAATTTAATTCATAAGATGAGGATCACCAGCGAGGAGTGGTTTACCGTTTTTAGTATAATTTCCGTGAATTACCCAGTTATTACTAGCTTGGGATTCATCAAGATGGATCATCTAGTCCATTTGTGGTGGTAGCACCTACTCTTTTTTAGCTTCTTAAGCTTACTCTGCAGATTTCTCTGCTTTCTGAGATTGCTGTTATTTTTATAATTCCTCTTGTTTTAATTATTCCTATCTAAGTCTCTCTGTTTCTGCCTATTAGATTCTCAATCTCTCTTCCTCTTGTTCTTTCTTGATTCTAGCTGCTTCCTCTTCTTGCTTTTTCTTCGCTTAGAGCTCCTCTTGCTCTTTTTACTTTTTTTGTTTTTCTTCAAGTTCTTTCTATTTTCTTTCCTATTCCTCTTTTTCCTTTCTAATTTTTTCTTTTTCTTCAGCCTCCTTTTGCTATCTAGCTTTCTCCTCTTCATCTGCTTTTCTCTTTTTCTCCAACTCCTCTTGCTCCTTTTTAATTCTTTCTTGCTCAAGTTATTCTTTCTTGATTCTCTCATTCTCTTCCTCTTAACGCTTAGCTTCTTCCTCCTTCTTCTTTTTCTCCTCCTAGAGTCTTCTTTCTTCTTACTCTTACTTCAATTTGAGCTCCTATTCTTCTTTGATTTTTCTCTCATTTTCTTCTTATTCCTTCTATAATCTAGCTTTTTCCTCAGCCTCTTTCCTCAAGCGTTCTTTTTCAACTTATCTTTACTTCTCCTATTCTTATGCTTTTCTCTCTTCTTCTTTTTGCTTTCTCTCAGCTTCCATTCTTTATTTTTACTCCTCTTCAACTCTCTTCCTTTCTTATTCCTCTTTCTCCTTTTAAACTCTCTCTTATTCTTCTTTCTCTTTTCTCAATTTTTCCTCTTCTAATCTCTTCTTTTGTTCCTCTTCTTATCTTTTCTTCTCTTCCTCTTCTAATCTTTTCTTCCCTTCTAACTCTAATCTTTTCTTTTCCTCCTCCTCTCTTTATTTTTTTTCCTCTTCTTATCTCTTTTGTTCTTCTTCTTATCTTTTCTTCTCTTCTAACTCCAATCTTTTCTTTTCCTCCTCTTATCTTTGTTTTTCTTCCTCTTGCCTTAATCTTTCTTCTTCCTGTCTCTTCTTCTACTCTTCCTCCTATTTCTTCCTTTCTTCTTCCTGTAATCTCTTCTCTTCTTCTTATCTCAATCTTTCTTGCTCCAATCTAAGTTTTTCTTCCTCTTGTCTCAATTTCTCCTCTTCTTTTCTAGCCTTTTCCTCAGCTCTGTTCTGCTAAGCTTGAGTTAGCTTGGGTTAGGTTCCTCTTGTCTTGTGGTATCTCTCTGATAAAGTGGCATCTGACCAGAATCTAGTTCCCTGAATATCTTCATCTCCAACGATTGTTACTAGATTGTGTGCATAATCTGCATTAAATGGGTATATAATTTCAACCATATCTTCTAGCCCGATGATACTTAATAGCTCACGCATCATATCTTGATTCCAGTTCCAACTCAAGTGGAAATTAAGCATCTTAAGGATACTTAAACTGTCAATTGGTGTCCATGGTCTTACCTCAGAAATGCCTAATAGAATATATTCTGGGGGCAGCATCTTTCCAGTTTAACCATTTGGAAACTTGACATTTGATAGGTAGTCATTAACTCCATCAGCATAGGCCTAAAATATCAGACTAGACTCAGGACTCAAGTTTGGTAGAGACTCACGAGCTGCCTTTTGAAGTCCTACGTGTCTAAAGAATGTATCTATGGCAATTGTCTTCTCTCCAAACAACTCACTTAGCTCCCCTTGCGCGACTCTCCTTAAACGCTCCATCTACCACAGTCTTTCTTGAGCGTGGATAAATCCCTCTGTGTAAACTGCCATTAACTCAGAACTAGCATAAACATGAGGAATACTTGTTTCAGTTTCTCTCAATACCTCTGCTTCTCCCATTGCGTTTGAGAGGTACAAAGTACCCTCCGTCACTGGTTTGTATATCCATTATAGAAGTAAAATACCCAAAACTAATACTACAAAGACAGATATCAAAAGTAGTCCTAGTATCTTCTTAAACATTTGATTGATATTATAAATCTACATATAATACGTATTTATTTACCTCCTAAACTTATTGATTTCAAGGTCAGGGGTTTTGGGGTTTTGGGGTTTTGGGGTTTTGGGG